AAAAACTTAGCAGGAACAATGTCGGGATCCGACTCAACTTGAGTTGGACGTAGACCACTTCAGGGTAGTCCGATCTTAATTTACGACCCAGCTCGGCGTTTCCTCGACTAAGAAATAGTCAAGAAATAATTTAGAAAAAACTAGTATGAAAATTGATTATTTTCTTATGATTTATCGAGTTATTTATATAAAGCCGTAAGTAAAAAAGAAAACGGTGAATGAATAGTCGCCACACAGAACGCGAAAAATTTAGGATACCCTGTCGAGATTTCCTCAGTAAAGTTACAGACTTGTGTATCCATGCAGGTACTTATTCAGTGAATGTACTTTTACGGGTACCCCAAACAGTACATACATCAGTAAAATTACTGAGAATTTTCAAAGTACCCATATTGGGTACCCTGCTAGAGCTTTCTCAGTACATGGGTACCCTGAACTCAGTACTTTCTCTAGGGCATTACGTTGACTGTCAAATGACCATGAAGTACATTTTTATGAATAGAAGCATTTCCTTTCTGAAATAGTTTTTTTATACTGATTATTTGTTCTTTATCTTCGATATTGAATAGTAATATCACATGGATGATTTTTACTAGCTAATGACTATTGAGCTTGTGGACGATCGTTTATAGAAATATTCTGTTCACGAAGTCTTTTATCGTCTACTGTAAGTGTATTGTTTGGTTGAAAACGTTTTTAATTCTGTAAGAAATTTCATCGTATTACCTTTAGTATCTAACGTTTCTGGATTAAGAGTTTGAAATGGAATTAAACAATTGAATCAGTGAGGAAGACATCAAAGATCTTTAAATGGTTGTAAACGTTTCAAAACACCATCAAAAATTATTTTCGTTGCAATCAAAGTCATCTTAGGATCATCATGTGTTCTTAATAAATCAATTAATAATTGATTCGAACGATTAACATTATGAACTTTTAACCAATCAATAATGTGTTGAAGAATATCAATAAATCGATCAAAAGATTCTTCAATGGAACACAACAACGAATGACTGAATCAGTCAACAAGTCACGATATAAGGAGCACTTGCCTAAACATAAAAACTAACTAAATAAAAATCCATGTAGTTTAAACGAAGCAAAAATCATCAGAAGACCATTCGATATAATATGTGTTATATGGGAAAATGATTTAACCATCGGTACTTGTTGATAGTGGTAAAAACCCGGCAATAGAGCCCACTGCATCAGAGTCTACAAATTTTCTAGAGGCCGATTTCTTTTGTGAGTCTGACCCGACAGTGTCTACTCTAAAAGTAATATGGTGATTCTTTTGAAAGCGTACCAGAGTAAGAAAATGTAAAAAACCTTGTCAAGGGTTGAAAATTGAGGCAATCTGAAGTGTGCCAGACAGAGCGCACCTTAGCTATTTCTCTGTTTCAAATAATAGAAGACTGATAATTTTATCATTAATACTTCTGATTGAGATGGTAATTTTTTGTAGCGGAGCTTTTGGGTCATTGTGTTCCGTGTTTTGGAAAATTGCTACAGAAAAACGCGGCCTTTTGACATTACTGGCAGACTCAACTTATATTAGTATTTTAGAATTGTCGAACTACTCGCTATCTAGTGGTAAGGACTCACCGACCTGTATCTTGTTCCCCGAACAGAATGACAAAGATATCTTTGGAACCTATTTTCACAGTTTTACCAACATTGCACTATCCTTAAGCTAAACCACGGAGTTTTCAACACTAGTTCTATGGGCACTAGTACAATTCGTCGCACGACAATTCGTCGCGATCAATCCGTCACAATCAATTCGTCGCACGATCAATTCGTCGCGATCAATTTGTCGCACATGTATTGTAAAGAATACATTGATTGAATTAAGTAATTTAGTTTAAAATGTTATACAATTAATCGCTTTAATAAAAATTTTTCTTTAGACTCATAAGAATCTTTTTTCAGAATACAATGGTTTCTTGAAAAATAAAATAGAGATATCAATTTAAAGCCTATTTTAAAATTTAATTAAAAAAAATTGAAGTTTGATTTTTAGAAAAAATTCTATGTAAACAAATTAAAAATAAAGTTCATTTTTTTCAGAACAGCTAAAATTTTGACATAATTCATAATACGTGACATTTCGGTATCTATTTCACAAATACTATCATCAGACGAAAAGAAAAAACCACCAACAACAAAATCATACGTCTATATTCATAGTGTCCATTTATTTTCACCTTTATAATGACACTCATACAGCAATGAAAATGGACGTTCTCAATTAGTTAATTTTATTGTTTATATATATGATCAATGAATTAACTTATCTATTAAATGTGCTGATACATTATGATAGTTGTATGATTTTTTTGTTGGTGATTTTTTCTTTCCGTCTGATGACGGTATCTGTGAAATAAATACCGAAATATCACGTGTTATGAGTTATGTCAAAATTATAGCTGTTCTTAATTTTTTATTTCATTTTTTTCAATTGAAATTTAACATTTTATTTAAAAAGAAGCTGAAAATTAAAACAAAAATATAAAATTGAAAAAGAATTTTATGAATCTAAATTAAAAAAAATTAGAGCTTTTATTTATTGAAAACATAAATTTTAATAACAAAAAAAAGAACTTTATTTTTAACTTGTCAAAATAGAATTTTCTTTAAAATCAAACGTTAATTTTTTTTTTAATTTAGATTTGTAAAATTTCTTTTCGATTTTATATTTTTGTTTTAACTTTCAGCTTTTTATTGTGTACATAGAATTTTATTTAAAATCAAACTTCAATTTTTTTAATTAAATTTTAAAATAGCGTTTTAAATTGACATCTCTATTTTATTTTTGAAAAACTA